CCTGTAATTTAAATGTTCTGTTTAACTGCGTATATTTTGATCGTCAACGAGCAGGATTCACCATGTAGAACGTGAATAGCGACCTATTGCATGGTCATAATTAAATCTGCCTTCCTCTCGAATTTCTTTTATTCATTCATTCCTTCTCTGCGGTATTCCTTGCTGATTACATAATTCTCCCAAATATCAAAATCAACATTCAGCCCCACATTTTCTGCATACAGCAAAACCCCTTTTAGCCGAGCCTCGATTATCCGATTCCCACACTAAGCGACCGAATTTCAACCAGATCTGTTGCGACTGGTTTCCACCTCCGAGCGTGTTTAAAGCGATGTCCACGCGGTACAATTCATTGATTTTGCTGATTATTATGAAAACGTCAAGATATTTAGAGAATAGGTTATTATCGGGCAAAGACGAAAAACAACCTGCTGGTTCCCGTAGGTGCTGAACCCTTACTCCTTCTTGTTCAGGACATCATAGCAAGCAAATCAACTGACTTCGGCAGAATCACACCAGAACCTCCAGTTCATGCGATGGACAGAATGACTGATAAATTGACTAATTTAATACAGGGATTCCTTCGAACTGCGCTCACGAGTGACTTTTGCCGTCGGCTTGTGCCAGCGAAACGCCCGCATCATTCGCTGGCGAGTAAAATCTGTGTTGATTCCCTAGGTATTTGTTCTTATCCATGACCACGTTCCCTTTTCCCTCGCTCATCCGACACGTGATTCCCCCACATAGTCCGCTTAAACGAGGTTTCACTGGATTAACACACACAGTTACCAAAACGTCGTTTCGCCAAGCTTAATGCCAGAATTCAAAATTCTACACTCCTCATCTCACTGCCTTCTTCACTTGCGTACGCCAAGCCCTTGTTTCAACCTGTAACCTTATCACGAGGACGAGCGGGCGTTGCCTGGAGACTTTCTATTTTCCTCCGGTTAAACGGAGCGTATCTCATCGTTGCCTCTCCACGTGTCTGCTCTCAGTCTCACTCATTCGGGCTTCAAAGGGCTAAGGTAAAAACTGAAGGCGAAATACTCTGGTGTGCATATCCTTGAAAATCCAGTTCCTGCTGCAGTGTTTCAATGTGTGAGAGTCCGAAGGAGATCAAATCTGAGTCGGCTCTTACCCTCGCTGTCGCAGGTTGCACTTCTGGGCCGACCTTGAGACTCCTGCTCGTAGCCTCGTTCTGCGCCACTTCGTGGAAGTATCTCAGAAGAGCGAAGAACTGCTGGAACTGCCCGCAGAGGAGCTGCAAGCGATAATCGATTCCGAGGAACTGAACGTGAAGGACGAGAGAGTTGTGTGGGAGTGCATTCTCCGGTGGATCAACCACGACCCGAACAACAGGAAAGGCCACATCGCGGACCTTTTGAAGGGCGTCAGACTGGGACTATTGGACACAAAAGTTTTCAAGGAGGTCAGTATTGCCCCTGAAATCGTGGATGTCTATAGGAAGTGAAGCCCGCATTTTCAATTCCATATTCACACGTGTTCATAACTAATTATTGCAAATATGGAGTCTTCTTCTTCGTCACGTGTAAGCCCGTCTGTCTGTCAGTCAGCAGTTCCAGCTGGAGAACGTCTGAAAGGATGTTCATTAGATTTAAAGTTGATGAGCTTTAACAGAATCTGTTGACATATTAAAATTCTTGTTAGAATCCTACAATAACAACGTGAAAAGTAAACAATGTTTTCAATGCCTTATTCCGGGCAAAATATCCTGCGTAAGAAATCCCCAGATTCCCTTAGTTACCATGGTTACAGTAACTGCCTGTGCAATGCCGCTGGTAACACGCTCGTATGTGTGTGTATGTGCGAAACAAACATTTGATTCAGCATCTTATGCAGATATGTGGTTGGAGTTAATAATCGTCTTTTATTCATCGTCTGTAAGTTTGACAGTCCGTCGGCTCTACAAACTTTTATTACAGTCTCAGCGTTTATTAAGATCGATTACGTGTCTCAGTTCAACTACAGCATTCCACCGTTAACTGCATTCAAACGTCCACTCAGCTTGAATAGGAAAATCCTCCAACAGATAATCACGTCTTCTGGCTCAGCGTTCTACTTAACCAAAGATCCTATTGCCATAAGAAACGTATCTCAGCTGCTACAATAATTTCACGCATCTCCGACGATATATATAGTCAACCCGAGAACTGTTAGTATGACAATCTTCAGCTGATTGACCACATAGGGACAACAGATATCCGAAGATTGCAGCAAGAATGCTTCGTCCTACTTCCGAGAATAAATTACCCCAGGGGTTTCAAATTCATAGACAAATTTAACATTCTAACATTTTAAACGTACTCTCACGAACCAACCTTACAACTTATGGTATTCTTTCTTCCATTTCATAACGAGCTTTAACCCCAGAGAAAAAATGTTTTTACTCTGGGTCAAATGTCCTGTGCTTTCAGCCTCTCACCTCTTACTAATATTTGTAAAACAATCGCACGAATTCATGAAAATGTTATCTGCGTCTAATGTCTTTACATCTTATCATTCGTATCTACTAGTTTCGAACACTTAAAGAGAAAAACCTGATAATGACCAATTAAGGTCGAAACATGCAATGGCTCTTAATAGACATCGAGCCCATAACCACACGCTGTTGTGTTGACGGGCCTTCCACCCAAACATCTACATGCAGAAGGTTGCCTCCCTTGACACTCGAAGCAACTAATTGACATAAATTCCTTTCGATGCTACGTAATTTTGACGACTAATTAAAGTTATCGAATCAAAAAGAATGTGGTTATCGCAGCGTGCATCTCGAACGGGAGAGACGAGAAATAAGTTAAATTTTTGAATGTAACTCATAATGCAACCCTTACTGAAGTATTTAACTTTCGGTTGAAACACATTTCAATAGTTTTCTCTAAGATCGATTTAACCTTGTTTTCGCTTCTCCTCTCA